TATATATATATTTACACACAGATATGTACATTTGTGTATCTACATATATAAATGCATAAGCGTAATATAATACACACATGTGTGTATGTATATGTATATATATATGAATATATGTATGTATATATGTATATATATGAATACATGTAAATATGTATATATATAAATGTATACATATATGTATATATATGCATATATATATGTATATATATATATATGTATATATATATATATATATATACATATGTTATATATATATATATATATATATATATATATATATATATATATATATATATATATATATATATATATATTGAAATCGGGAACTAGAATATTTTTCCAAACATACTAATTAGAAAAAAAAGATTATCAATATCGAATAACAAATCAACATTTAATAAGCCTCTGAGGCTTATCAAATGTTGCCCTGTTAATCGAAAGGTTAGCAATTCGACTACATTTAATTCTACAGAGGTCATTTCGTATATTTTTTCATGATAAAAAATAGCAAGGTCGTTCAAGAAAAGCATTCAAATAACACAAACTCGAAGGTAAACTGATATAGTAGACATGTGATGTGATGTGAGCTTTAGCATTCATGGAATTTAGGATCTTGTATAGATAACTACCAGTACTAACGATATAACATGTTTCTCTCTTTTTCTTACATTTTTTTTTGTACATACTTACGTTCAAACAGATGTAACCCATCTAATTGAAGCGAGCAATAATCTCACGTATATATTAGGCAACTGAACCGAAAGTTGAAGATGAAGAAGAAACGCAAAACAAATATAACATAAACTATATATATATTTTATACAATTTATACATCCTTTGGCTCATGAGTGCCCACAGCATAGCCAGCTGGGAGGCCTTAGTGTGCAGGGCCTACATACTCGTCGGCGGGAGCGGCCTGGCCGGGCAGGGAGCGAATGGCGTCCTGAGGGATGGTGTTGCCGCTAACGAGGCCGGTGTCGACTGCGCCAACGGGAGCAGCGTCGACGCCTGGTGCGCTGTATTCGTCGGATACGGCGCCAGTGTCGAAGCTTCCAGCGACCCCAGTGTCGAAACCTGCAGCGACTCCAGTGTCGAAGCCTCCAGCGACCCCAGTGTCGAAGCCTCCAGCGACCCCAGTGTCGAAGCCTCCAGCGACCCCAGTGTCGAAGCCTCCAACGACCCCAGTGTCGAAACCTCCAGTAACTCCAGTGTCGAAGCCTCCAGCGACGCCAGCGTCAAATCCTCCCGCAGCACCGGCACCTGGTGCACTGTATTCCTCACCGATGACACCTCCAGCAGCGCCACCGGAGACACCTCCAGCTACGCCACCAAAGGCACTTTCAGGAAGCACGCCAGTACCGACGAAGACACCAGGAAGCACACTTCCGCCTCCAACACCGCTGCCGCGGAGATCGACTCCCAGCCCATCGTCGCCTCCGGAACCGTATCCTTGCGGCGCGGCGGACACCACACACACCAGGATCAGCACGGACGCACCTCGGAACTGTTGAGAACATTTTATTTGTTACAAAATAAATACACACATCTAACTACGCCTATAGAGCAATGTGACCCAGCATGGTAATTGTATAAACGAGTGGACGAGTGCATTTTAGACAGAAGAATGACACAAAACCTTATTTTCTTACCGAAAGAGGATTCATGATACGGGGTCTGTTTGGGAACGAAGTGCAAGGCTCTAGGAAAGTGAACTGTACCACACCTTATCCTCGCCACGGTATATATACTAGGTCGTGTCCATGCCGCAAGAAGACCGCGATATAGAACAAGCGAGCAGGAAACAGTTTTTTTTTTTTTTTTTTTTTTAATTAACTCATTCAACTTGACCCAGTCTCTCAATGTTCACCTGTCATCTGGAAACACACAGGCTATATGTTACGAATAATGTTGTGAACACTTTATCTAAATGTGCACTTTAGTATCATAAAAGACGACGCATAAAAAGAGAGAAAAACACTATATATAACTTGCTTTAGTCATGCAAGTCATTCTACACTTCAGTTCTCTTCTTCACTGAAAGTAGTTATGCACGAATGCTCAAACACGCACACGCATACTTGGTATCCATTGGTATCCAAAGAATGGACGGGGGAGAGACTGATATGTATGTGCATACGTATATATATGTATGTAGAAGTACACACATACATGTGTGTGTATGTGTACATACCTACGTACATGCATATATACATACATATATATATATATATATATATATATATATATATATATATATATATATATATATACATATCTATCTATCTATATATACACTTATGTTTATGTGAATATGTGGGAGTACATACGTATGTAATATTTCGTCATTATTCTTAATATTGTGCTTCTGAAATGAACTTACCCTACCTCATTTAGGAATGATGTTAAACTCATTTAAGAGATTTCCTACCTCTTATGATCAACCTTGCTCACTGCCAGACTTCTCAGCAATAAGAAAAATCTCTTCCGAAAGCACTGCCATCGCACTTAGTTGTTACAATAGTCTACCAGCATTTTATAATTACAGAATTCCACCACGCATTTGGCTGACTGGTAGCTGAGCGAGTTACCTTTGCAGTTTCAATATATATTTGTAAATATATGTGCACACACACACACATATGTGTGTGTTTTATGTATATACTTTTTTTTTAGAACATAGAGAAATGTCGCATGAGCCATTACCTGGCACTCCAATGTAGTTTCTTCAAATAAGGATTAGTCGAAAAAAAACCTCCTACTGGGATCTGCATCCATCGTTAATCCACCCTTAACTCTTTATAAAATTCGAGAGAGCATTCTCTTTTTAAGTAACTTCAAGCGGTTACTAAAAGATGTAATAAGAACAAATTGGTCCAATAATTGTTGTCAATTAAAGTTTCATATGATTTAAATTGCCTCTGTATTCTGCACTCAAGTAAAAATAAAACTCATGGAGAGTGATACATCTGGAATTAATTACATGTATCACAACACAAAATGCAAAGCGAGATTCAATTAGAGGTTTGTTACCATATGCAGGGGAAGGGGCAGTTGACCCCTCCACAATTTTTTATTCCTATATAGGTATAGTTATAGCCATTTTTCCTTTTTTTTTGTCACTTAGCTCTCCTCCCCCCCCAAAAAAAAAAAAAAGAAAAGAAAAAAAAGAGGAAAGCTGAAATGACGCCCCTGGTTACATGGAAAAGAATTTCAACAATTACTCTCCTTTGTCCAATTATTCACAGCCTCTGAACGCACCATTACTTTATCTGACCTTTTAGGGTGATCTTAATGAGACTGACCTCCGAGTGGCCTGACCTGTGCTGACTCACGTTCCTCCATATTAGGTCACTGGGGACTGTTTACTTCCTACCGAGTGGCTCATTTTGACTCTTAATTGCGCAAATATAGCTATCAAGTCACAATCACGCGGCAGATAATTCTAAATAATCAATCAATCACTACCTTTCAGTAATAAATTAGAACGGGAGCGTGGAAGGTTGCAGATCAGTTTGCAAGAGATGAACTTGTCTTTTTTTAACGAACATATCCTTGGGTGTAGAGCTCTTGACATCCAAGAGATTAAAAAAAAGAAAAAAGGCAAATATATCCCCAGACCACAATGGAAAATGTTGCAAAGGTTTTCATAAAAAAAAAAAAAAAAAAAACGCAAGTAAACTAACATGGCAATATGTCCCCGAATAACACAGAATAGAGTATCAGAAAGTGGTCCCCCCACCCCCACCCCCACCCACCCGCCCCACGCCGGGATCACCAGTCGACACGTCTGCTCGAAGAGATATAACAGCAAAGGGCATGGTGTCAGTGTCACGGGGCGCATGGGGCATCAAGGGCACGCCGGATTGAGATTAGATTGATTAAGTGATCGTCAAAATTTCATACTGAAGTTGAGGGGAAAAAGACTCGGGATTAATTAAGGTAATGGAAATAAAATAAAGACAATATCTCTAGTACTATAGAAAATATTCGTCACAGCATTATTATTAACATCGCCTTTGGTCATAGTGTTTGTTGTATTTTCTTTCATTTTGTGGTCTAAACTTCTTAAGTATGTGTAGCATTAAATTGCTTAATTGCATGTATGTGGAAGTGTATTTTGTTAAACTTTACCGAAATAAATACCATATATTTGTAGAATCACTGGCCTCCGTCTTCATGAGTGGAATTTGATGCCTCTGGAGCTTGTCTCACAGAGAGATGAAGGCTTGTGATGGGAGATTCTACAAAAGGTAATTAGTAAACTTTAAAAATAATGCAGATATATTATTTGTTAATAATTTTGTTAGAGAGACAGATACAGGCTCGTAAAAAATACATACAGATTGTAGATTGTCTTGAGGGTACACCAACCCCAGCTAGCATTTTTTGTATGACTGAAATAGAATAAACTCAATATTATTAGTTTTATAAAAACTTATATTTAGATACATTTAGGGGATTAGAAATGATTGGAGAAGGTATATGAGAAATCAATATTGTGGTTATAGTAATGGATAAGTTGATAATATTCATGACTTTTCTTAATGCTGGTATTCGGTGATAGGAAAAAAAGGTCAGAGAAGTATGCGTTATATAATCATATTAATCAACAACCAAATATTAAATAGATATATAAATGGGAAGTTACCATAGAGGGGTACATACCTAAGCCTTAGGGGTGAACAATAAAATATATGAATTATAAGAAAATCTACGCAGTTGACAATTTATGCTAAGGCATTTTTTGTAGCTTCCCGAAACACTAACACTTCGATACATTGTCAATACAAGACACGATATTATCGAAGTTTGTACTGCCATACAAAATATTTAAAAAAGAGAAGTTATCTTTATTCACACAGAGAAATAATAGATTCGATTCGTAATTAATGAAAATATAAATCACTATCTGAGACCGTCTGAAATATGTCTGAAAAAAATATTGCGCTCTGATTGGCATCAAACCGTATCAAGTTGAAGGCATACAATTTGATACAAACTGAAAAGAGGTTTCAAGTTCCAATAATATATGCGTAAAGGGCATCAAAATGTTAGGGGTTTCAGAAATGTTACAAAAAGGTCTTTAGTGTTGCCTCTGCTTAGCCACTATAATTCTATGTCAGCTTATCTTATATCTATCATCCTGGTGTAATTCATTAATCATTGTTCAATAATTATCAAGAAAATCTAATAATAATGTTGTTTAGGCAAAAGAGCATGAGGAACCCTTATCATTGGAAATTCAACTCTTCCCTTTAAACTTTTCATCTTCATTCTATATTTGACCGTTTTATCACATCTTGAAGAATCAATTATTCTCATACTCCGCAGTTTTTTTATTGCTAAATATTGATAATATGGTACAGGTGTAACGCACGATTATGTTCAATAATTGTCAACATCAAGTTATATAAACAACAAAATCTAAAAAAACTGTCCATTGCCAATTCGCCATATTGTTTTTTTTCTACACCTTCTGTGTTCACATATTTTAATATCATAAATTATTTTTCTTAACACTTCCACACCCCTCTTCCACGAAGGTCAATCTCCTTTGGTAAGCCCTGATAACGCTGCCAGTGGCTAAGAGCACATACGATTTTCATTATGGGAGTTCTGAATTGACACCGTGGGCTGTTTAGAATCATGCCAGCCCTGAACATTTATCAATTATAACTGCAGCTCTAAATTATCAAAAGTTATCGTCACTCTCTGCCCATTCAAAAGCAGTTAACTGGCTCCTGATAGATGTCAGTGTTCGTGCGTGGAACTTTTTAAATACACCCATATATCATATATATGTATATGAATATATATAGATATAGAAATGCATGCATATACATACATACATACATACATTCATAGTTACATATATATATATATGCACTCCACGAGCATGTTTAATCCTTGCCTTTACAGTTTAGGTAGGTTTTAGACGCTGCATAGAAAATATCCGTTTAAGGAAAGAATTAGTACTGACTCAGTAAAGGAGGTGAAATATGTAATATGAATTATTGTTCTTTATTATGCATTTCCACAAAATTAATGCGGTGCATCGTATACGCTGACAGGGGGGCTGACGTGGGAAACAGCATCATCGAAGCCAGTGTCGAATCCTCCAGCAGCACCGGCGTCGAAGCCTCCATCAAAGCCAGTATCAAAGCCTCCAGCGACGCCAGAGTCAAATCCTCCAGCTGCACCGCCATCGAAGCCTCCGGCGACTCCAGCATCAAAGCCTCCCGTAGCATCTGGCGCGCTGTATTCCCCACCGATGACACCTCCATCAACGCCTCCTACACTAATGGCACTTTCAGGAAGCACACCCTTCCCGGTCAAGACGAAAGGAAGCACGCTGCCGCCTCCAACGCCGCTGCCGCCGTGGTCTCCAGTGCCGCTAAGATCGACTCCCAGCTCGCCGTCGCCTCCGGAACCATATCCTTGTGGGACGGCGGACACCACGCACGCCAGGACCAGCACGGACGCACCTCGGAGCTATTGAATTGAACGCATGAAAGATCAATATGTAGAATGTATACCACATCGATAAAACCGGAAATATTAATAGATATTGATATACAAGGCTTAAGTTTTTAAATATATTAAATACGTTATATAGATAGACAGAGTAAGAGACTAATAGAAACACACAAAGAATTGTTCAAAGAGATTAATTTATGGCCAGTTTGTACCCCCCTCCAGACTTTAAATGGAAGGATATTTTACTTACTTTCAAAGTATATTTACTTACCATAATATTCAGGGGATTCATGATTAAAGATTTTCTGCAGTCCAGTTACTGGATGACTAAGCGTCTAGTCAGCGCGGTGTGCCTCTGCTTGCCTCAGTTTCAGTATTTATACTTCAGTGCCAGCTCGTGCAAGGCCTAAGAGGATGCCAGATTTCATTGTTGCTATGAAGGATATGTAGGAAGTAATGTTAGTGAAGATATGTCTCACACACACGTCTATCTAATTATCTATCTATCCGAAGACAATAAGGAAGTAAATTTTTGTGTATAAGATTGTAATCAGACTAGCCAGCGGGATGCTTCCTATTCAAGTATTACTGATGAAAAGGCGTGTGCTAAGAAAGAATGCACTTATCCATATTTTAAAAAGAAAAAAATATCAAGAAAAAATATGGATATATATATAGTATATATATGTATATATATAAACACACATATGTATTATACATATATATTGTAGTAAAACATATACGTAAACTAGATTTATTGTCTAGTCATTCAGTGAATCTAGTTTGTGTATAGTGTTCCTTTTACCATAGCATCATCACGTTACAGTGTTTTTTCCATTCACATATTTAAATTACAGTATAATATTGATAATTACAGTAATAATATTGATAATTACAGTAATAATATTGATAATTACAGTAATAATATTGATAATTACAGTAATAATATTGATAATTACAGTAATAATATTGATAATAACAATAATAATATTGATAATTACAGTAATAATATTGATAATAACA